CGGGTTTTCAAGGTATACAATCATGTCATCTGCAAAGAGAGATAACTTGACTTCCTTTTTTCCTATTTGGATACCCCTGATCGCCTCTTCTCTGATTACTCTAGCCAGGACTTCCAATACTATATTGAGCAGGTGGGGTGAGAGTGGGCATCCTTGTCATGTTCCAGTTTTCAGGGGAAATGGTTCCAGTTTTTGTCTGTTTAGGAGTATGCTGGCTGTGGCTTTCTCGTCGATGGCTTTTACTATTTTGAGGTATGTTCCACGTATGCCTAGATGTTCGAGGGTTTTTATCAAGAAGCGGTGCTGGATTTTATCAAAAGCTTTTTCTGCATCCAATGATATAATCATGTGGTTTTTGCTTTGACGTCTGTTGATGTATTTAATTACATTTATGGTCTTATGAATGTTGAACCAACCTTGCATCCCAGGGATGAAGCCTACTTGGTCATGATGGATGATTTTTGAGATGTGTTTTGTGACTTCTTTTTTTTAATGGAGGAAAAAGGATATATAACAAAAGATAAAAACCAGGACAAGCTGAGGACTAGACTTAGCTCACATTATAGCTCACTTGACATTTTTTTTCAAGGTTGAACAATCTTAGCCAATAACTACAAGACCATGACTATAAGAAAAGCAAAGGGAATACCTTGTATTGAATGTGATAAGATTTGTGTCATGAAGACAAAGTTGAAGTCTCTGAAGAGGAGCATTGACTGGGACTTGCTCAATGTTAGCTCCTATTTGTGTTATGAAAATTATAGCATAAAAGTGTATTGTATCTTTAAACTTATTAATGACTTTTCTTCATGAGAGTCCTCCTGCCACCACACCATAAAGCCTTATTTATCAGTTTCAATGGTAGGCTGGTTCATGTCCCCTTGTGTGCTTCAGGAACTTAAAACTCTACAATCATTCTGATTTATTCATTATGTAAACTCACAGCAAAAGTCCTAACAGACATTTATATTGTTAGTATGCATCATCCCTATTGCGGTAAAGTCCTCATGCTGATAACTCTTCAAATGGAAAGAAATGTAATGATATAATCATGAACATCATGTGCCTGTATGTGCCAGGCACTGTAATTGATATTTCAAAGTTTTAACTCATAAAAGTTCTAATGTGAGGTAGGTGGAAATATTTTCACCCCACAATAAGAGGGGTGAGGCTTGGGGAGGTTAAAACCAAGAGTATACACCTGGAAAGTAGCAGGACAGGGACTTAAACCCAGTGACACCCATGTGCTTACTGCACTTATACTTCCAGGTGCAGGTGGCAACCTCAGGGTGCACTGGCTGTAGTTTTTGTCTCTATACTAAATAGCCCGTTAGCCACAGGTTTTATTAGTCCTTATGTTTCTTTGATATTTTCTTGCCATCAGTTATTATTGTCATTGCTGTTTGAGTGATTCAGTCTAGCCATCTTTTCCCCTCGGCCATACCTTTCTAACTTAGAAAGGTCACCAGGTTTGTTAGAACTTTGGGTAACAGAGAAAACTGGCAGTGAGGCAAGGTTGGGATGGGGAACTTTACTTATGTGAGATTTGAATGGCGATGCTGACACAATTCTTTGGTATACTGAGGAGCACTGTAGGGTAGGGTGCTAGAAATTTTGGATATTGTAAATTAGCTCATTTCAACACTTCCTATCACAAACAGAAAGGGCTGGCTCATATATGTGAATGAGAGAGGAGTAGGTAGGTGTGAATATAAAGAAAAATTGCAATGGAGAAAACATCTCAATTAAATTTATTTTCCATAGGTCATGGAGAACACTGAAGAAACGTCAAAGTGAACCAAATCCTTGCATTTATTTTTACAAAGGCAGAAAATGGAACACCATAAGGTGAGAGAAATTAAAAGTTTAATTCTTCACTTGTGTCACTTGTGTAACTTAAATCATGAACCACAAATCTGTTCTGCTGCAAAGTCTGTGTGCTCTGTAATGTACATCAGCTCATAGGCAATAGCTAAATAGCAGATACCAGTGTAATGTGGAAGTCACATTGGTTTAACATGATTTTCTCCAGCAAGCAAAATATGTTGAAGCAATTAGAGGCAAACATTCTTACAACTAAAGAGAAACTAGAGAGAAATATATTAAGATCTTATTAAAAAAAAAAAGATGGAAATCCTTTACATGCAAGGAGTGGCTGGTGTAATGCTTCAAAACCACCTCACATTTTGCTTTGTTCAGGTATCTGAGAAGCTGTAAGCACAGATGAAAAAGGCAAGACATTTCACCTGGCAATTAGAAAAAAGCAGATTGATGAAGGATACCTTTTTATCGTATTTTTTTTTTCTTTTTTTTTTTTTGAGTTGGAGTCTCACTCTGTCGCCCAGACTGGAGTGCAGTGGCCGCTCCCGGCCACCGCTGCCTCGACCCGCTGTGCTCCGGCAATTCTTCCACCTCAGCCTTCCGAGTAGCCAGAATTACAGGCGCGCACTACCACGCCCGGCTAATTTTTTTGATTTATTGTAGAGATGAGGTCTCGCTGCCCAGGTGGGTCTCAAACCCGCGGGCTCAGGCAATCTATTCACCTCAGCCTCCCAAAGGCACGGGATTACAGGCTGAGCCACTAAGCCCGACTATCTATCGTATTTTTAATATTGGTGAAAATGGTTTCTATCAAAAGTGATTAATTTCTAGGATCTGTATCTCAAAGGAAAAAACAAACTCAAAAGTTTAAAGCTGCAAAAAGTAGACTGATTTCATTACAGATATCACAATGCCAGGAGAGGAGGGGGCAAAAACCAGTGAAATGTCACAACCTTTTCTACTATGTTGAAGATAACTGGGCATTCTTTTGGTTGCTGTAAACCTTTGATTGTTTTCCAGGTCTCTGACAAAGTTGGTTTAGACAGTTGCTACTTGTTTTTTTCAATGTTGCTATTGGGGGAATGAAAGCTTGGATCTTCCAAGTCCACCATTCTGCTGATATCACTCAGGTTGATTATGTTTTATTCCTGCCTGTAATTCTAGTATCACAATGAGACCTTCAACAGAGTGTGTTTATTAAGTACATTCATGGTGATTGAATTTTAGTCAGAAATAGAAAAATATTAAGAAAATATTCTCAAAATTCTCCTCAACCTGATCATTTGCATTTAAAATCAACATTAATGAATATATTTTCAGTTTCTTCTAAGTTAATCAGTCTTGCCCTTTTTTGCTGGCTGTGATGACAGTACTACAGCACAAAAAACTTTATAAACTTGTTTAAGAAATGAAAGTACTCTATACCAAAACATTAAATAACACTTACTGGCTTCTACCAGTGTTTTCTACTTTTTAGCAGCATATGTTCTTATAACCTGTCTTCAGCTATGGCAAAGGTTAGAAACTAAATATATAAATCAGAAATAATGTATTTGAAATATGTGATTATTCCTATATAGGGCCAATATTAAAATAACCTGATAACATTCTTTATATAGTACAGGTGCTAATCTTATTCATTTAACAAGAATGTTATTACTAATGCTTATATTTTTTTTATTTTAGGATTTTCATTAAGCTAACTCATACTCAGTTTCTACAATTGAAATCAAGTCAGCCATCTAAAATCTCATGATTTCTTCCCACCAAGAGGATTTGGAGTCTTCTGTTTCCATTAAAACTGAATTTATGGCACTACAAACCTGGGACTAGACTGTGTGGGTATAAAATGACAAAAGCACACCTGTTTTTTTTTTTTTAATTTCTACAGATTGCATAGAAATTTCTCACATTGTAAATGTTTGTTTCTGTTGTAATTCTTTGCATGTCCATTTTGTTAGATTTGCAATATAAATCAGTGGCATATCTTTTGCTATCTGCCTCCTAGATTGAGATGACTCCCATTTAAGCAAAATTGAGAACTACAGTGAAGTAGCCTTCTGGATTCCCCATTACATCAATTTGCAGGGTGTATCTATTTCTAGGTCTTAATTCCAAGGTTTAATTTCCCTCTTCCTTTTACTTAGCTGGTAAGGACTTTCATTCTACTTGGATCAAATGGGATGGAAATATATTCCTTGATGAAGCCTTATTCAAAGCAAACTGTATCTATAGTTTTGCTGTGGAAACATTCAGGAGAAATTATCCTCCTCTGAAATCAGTATTTTTAAAAATGTCTTGGTTAAATAAGCCATTCTACCACCTGATCTTCACTTGAAAGAAGGCAGCTCAGTGTGTAGACTAGGAGTCTCTTTTTGTGCTTACCTTCATTTTTCATGTGACTTTTTTTTCAATTTTACAAAGGACTACAATAGTTGTCCTCTCTTGGAATTTAGTTTGTTTTTAGCTGAAACAGTAATTATTCCTTTAATGCTTGCTTCTGTTTAAGAAAAGACTTTCAAAACTGTAATAGTTAGACAGTTTTAACTTTGATTAAATTACTGTTCCCCTTCCCTGCAACCTTCAAGTCCTCTGAGAGAAGGATGACCTGTTCTTATCCAGACTACTGTTGTTTCTATTGAGTCAACCTTTTCCCTTTTTACTTTGAACTAATGTTACAACCAGGTGACCAAAGAATTTTATTGTTCATAGCAAGCTCCAAAGGCTCAGCCATAAAAAAAGACCCTATAACAATGTCTAATATTCTATAATTATCCTGGAGCAAACTCCTTTAAGAAGTAACAGAACAATTCATATTAGTCTTAATTTTAAAAAATCAATCCATCCAATTCATAGGCTCATTTTGTTCATATTTTCAGTTCAAAAATTCCTGTTCCTCTAACTATTCAACAACACTGTTTAATATCAGAAACAAAAAAGTTTACAAAATAGTTGCCTTATAAGCACATCTAAGAACTAGAATTTTGAAGTATTGTCTACTTGATAATGCACACCAGTGTGAAAGAATAGAAAATAGCTAAACAGCAGGGTTTATAAATATAAATATTCAGACTTAAAAGTTCTAACACGCAAACTTTTCTTTGGACTTTCCTCAAGATTTAGAATAATCATACAACAATCTTCTAAGTATTTTCATCATATATATAAAATAACAAAAGAAGTCTTGTAAGGTAAAAAATGGGAGAAAAGTGATAAAAATAGAAAAGCAGGAATAATTCTAATGCATTTTATTCTACTTGCCTTGCAAGTTTTCTACTGTCCTGTTAGAACCACTGACCATTACAAAAGTGCCAAATATTAGTTAGATCATATTGTATTGGGTAGAATATGCTAGCATAAGGATATCCTGCAAACAGACTTAGGAGAAAAAAAACAAACAAAAAACAGTGGCTTAAATAAGACTGATGCTAATTTCCGTCTTATAAGACAGTATAGAGGTGGGCAGTCCAGGCCAATTATGATGGTGTTTTAACGAGGTAATACAGGGACACAGGATCCTTCTGTGGTTTTCTTCCACAATGGGATGTTGCCTCCTCTGCAGGGTCTAAGATGCTCGCTACCAGATCCTCATTCCATGCAACAGGGTAGAGAAGGGGGCAAAAAATGGCCAAGCTATTTGTAAGGACACACATCATTTCCCCTCACAGTCTGTCGGCCAGGACAGTCATACCTGCACTGGAGACTTGGCAATGTAGTTTTTGTTCTAGGAGGCACACCTAACTGAAAAATCAAAGGTGCTATCACTACATGAAAAGGAAAGACTGGAAACTGAGGAAAAATTAGTGTTTTCTGCATATCTCTCATTTAGGTATTTGCATAGAAATTAAAACTTAAATCATTCTAGGAATATGACAACAGGGTTGACAAGCTGACAAATATGAATTATTCTAGGTTTTCATTTATAAAGGATTAGTTTACTTTGTTTGGTCACCCACTAAAAGCAATTAAATACAAAACATTATCTGAATGAGTTTCCAAGGTATGTTTTATTGGTATAATACCAACATAAGGTGATGTAATTCTCTGGTCTGCAAATTAGCTATGCAGAACTAGGTGGGGGAAAAAAGATTCATTAGCAATTTCTTTATTGAGGGAAATGTTTTACTTACAATAAAATACTGATTAGTCTTGGCAATTTATCTGACTGAGAAACTTTAGAATACCAAAACAAAAATAGTTCTTTAACTTTTATCAAGTAAAAAGTCAGTAATATTGTTACAGAAAAAAATGCATACAATTGAAAAGCAGAGAAAAAATATCTCAAACAAGCCATCTATACATTTTTTTCTCCTTTATTAAGGGAGAAAAAAATATCTTCATGATAAAAAATCATCTAACAGTGCAAAGAGGTAGTGATGGAATGTCTTCAGCCTCCATTCTATTGATGAACCCCTTCTGATCTTCCTATGCAGGAAAACTAGTCATGTTACACAGCAGCCACATGACCTGGTACAATACAGCTGTCATCGGTTTGCTCGTGCCTGATGCAAAAACACTCAACTCTTGGTCTGTGTAATGTACAAAGCTGTTCTCCATCTAATACATTAAAAACTACCCCAGTGTGATCATAGAGCATCAATCAAAGCTATAAAACATATATTTGAAGTTATTTTTATCTGAAGTTTCCATTTTCTGGAAAAGGCAGAACCCCAAAGTTATATAATGTGAAAGCCACTTTAAAGATGGCTTTATTTAGGTGATCCCAGATGAATGAGAGCCATTATTGTTGTATAGCTATGAAACAGATCATCATCTTTTACCTCATTACATTTCCTCAATATGAAGTTCCCAGTGACTATCCGATCACATCCAATTTCTCCATTTCCAAAGAAACCAAATAAGGGAACACTAGGAAAAAATTTTCTAAATGCATCGGCCTCAACATTCCTCTTGGCTCTATAATACTGAAAGCCCCTGCCAACACATGCAAACATGAAGCCAATGGTGTTCTGTTCCGGAATGTTGGCTGCTTTGAGGCGCTGCATCGCAGCCTCAGCTGTCTTCTCATCATTGACGTCCTCGTTGAGGAGCACAGTGGCGCTCTGGATTCGGTGTCCGCTAAATGAGAGTCCAACCACACCCGTGGCATTAATATCCAGAGGCTTCCTGAAAAAAGAGTAACAACATGTGAAGCACTCAAATTGAGAGTACAAAGAAAAATCCTCATTCACTGATGGGGCCTGCTGCCTTTAGCCTTTAGTAGCCTATGGCTCAGATTTGACGTTCACTTCACATAAGGGTTAAAAATTAAACTACTACAATTAATACGTTAAGTGAGTGTAGAAGGCACATCAAGAGAAGTAGGCTACTATTTTTTTCAGTCACAAAAAGGGGTAATGAACATCCACAAAGATTTCTGAAACTCATCCTGGGTTATCTAGAATACCCTAGAAAATATAGGGTATTCTTACTGTTCTGGTTTCCTTTAATAAAAAAAAAAAAAAAACCACACACAACCTTATAATTTTATTCATATATGTAAGTATCTATCTATTAAATGAAGCTTTTTGGTATTATTTACAGTGTTAACATCTTTCCCCCATATTTCACCTGTCAGAGATGTATTAAAAATGTAATCATGGAGGATTATTTAAAAAACCTATTAGCTCACCAGGCGTGGTGGCTCATGCCTGTAATACCAGCACTGTGGGAGGCAGAGGTGAGAAGATTGCCTGAGCCCATGGGTTTGAGACCTGCCTGGTTAACTTAGCAAGACCTCAATCTCTACAATAAATAAAAAAAATTAGTCAGGTGTGGTGGTATGCGCCTATAGTCCCAGCTACTCGGGAGGCTGAAGCGGAAGGATTGCTGAGCCCAGCAGGCAGAGACTATGGTGGTCATGACCGAAGTCACTGCACTCTAGCCTGGGCAAGAGTGACGCTCCATCTTAAAAAAAAACCCCAAAACCAAAAAAACCCTATTAACTCTAGAAAGTTTTAGCTTTATGTTTGTTTCATTAGGAAATATGATTATATTGCTTTTTGTCTTATGGCTTTGAGGCTAGAATTCAGCTTAATCTGATGGCAAAAACTTATGTCTTCTTTTCATTTGTATTTGTCTGGTATTTTTTTAAATGAAGTATTTTATAGCCTTACAAAAGAAAATACAAAGCTGATAAATGTTATAAAGCATAATACAGTGAACACACACTGGGGGAGAAACAATTAACTATATTACATTTCTATCATGTTTCCCAATATCTGAATCTATATGTGCAGGAGTCACTGGATTGAGACATCAGGACTCAAAAGGTTAAGTGACTACGATAATAAGGCTAGCTAGTGGCAAAAGCAGTTTGTGAGGAGCAAAATCCATCTTCTGAAGTCCTCTGCTGCTTTTTTAACTTTATCACATTTCCTCCTCGGTATACAATTGTTAATACATATTGTCAATCTCCTTCCTCAAAGAATTATTTACCTACCTTTTGGGGGGTAGGATCAGTTGGGTTATCTGGACACTAACAAAATGGACCACTGATTTACTCACTGCTTTCTCTTATCCATTGGTACAGTACAAGACCACATTAAGATGAATGAGTCTGTAAAGAGTAATTATTTTAGGGAGTATGTTTCCAATATTAGGTATAAAAAGTAGAGGATATACAAAAATAGCCACACTAACAAGTTAGCACCTCAGATATAAGTCCGAGTGAGATATTTGTATTTCAAAGTTAAAGTATATGTTAAATCATCATTTCCCCATCTGTAAACAATTTAAAGATAACAGCAAAGACACAAGGAAAATTAGGCAAGAGGGGGAAATAGCCTTAGATGGCCACTAAGATTCAGGTGTATATATGCATGAAATCCAGTGTTTGATGACCTCCTGCCTACAACTCGGGGCATTGGGCTATCCTCCCTCCTTCTGGGGACCTCAGCTTTAGCTGTTTTCCCAGATCATCAGTGAAGACTACCAGGAGAGACTCTAACTAAATGTTTTACATGGCTCTTACAGACTCTGATCTCCCAGTCTGTCCCCGTGCCACCACTCTAGGATTCACATACTAAACACAAACATATTCAGAAACAAGTACTAGTGTTTATGAACACTGGGGATAGAGTCTCATTTTCCTGCTTTTGGAAACAAATGATACTATGTCCACTTAATTAATTCAAACTCAAAATGCTACATACTTTCAGTCAAAATGGAAAGGAAGTAATGGCTCCCAAGACAGAAGAGCAAATATTTTTATCTTTGAAGACAAAAGCATTAGTAACAATAAAAGATCCACAAGTTCTGAGCTTGAAAAGCCTTTCAAAAGATCTAGTACAGAATTTCTAAAAATGTGTGCACCAAGAAACACCAGTAGGCCTTGCAAGATGGCTCTGTGGAAAAAAGTTTGGTAACCAAACAGATTTGAGAACTGCCAGAGGTATTATTCCCCTTCTAGATTTCCAAAACACTGCGTATATTAGAAGCTGTAAGTTCTGCCATAAAGAAACACTTCAACCATGTACTTCCTTTAAAGGAGGAAACAGAACTAGAGAGGAAGTAACATGCCTGTCAAGGAAAAGACTGACAGACAATGCTGAAAATCAGTTTTAAGGAGAATGTGAGTCTGAGAAGTTCTTAAAGCACAAAATAATTCTTCAACTGTAAGCAGAGTTAACCAATGTCTACTGTAAAACTGAATGAACTATTAACAATTCTTTAAACATTTTTAAAAAAATCACAAAGTAACAAAAATCTGAGGTCATTTCTCTGCATCCACAGAAATCAGAAGCACACCAGACATACTTTTCAGAAGTCAGTGATGACAGATTGTCCACCTGGCCTCCAGCTAAGATGATATTCATGTCGCTGAAAGTGCTGACTACTCGTTGCAGATAATTACTGGCTCCCACTTTACAGCAATTATAACCAAAGACAAGGACCACACGAAGTTCAGGGTTATCTAAAAGACCTGCAGAGAAATGAAGAGCAACAATTAAAGATAGCCTAAAAATGAAAATATCTTACCCATGTTGCAGAATTAAATGTTATTGTTAATGACCTGCACTCCTAGTTAAGTGCAATTTAGTGGCTTAAGCTGCCAAGACTTTGGGGTTTTTTTCCCCCACTAACTTTAACACTACTCAAAATCTTAGCTACAAGTAAGGTTTTTCTATAAAGAAAACTAAATGGCTATTTGAAAATAATATGATCAGCAATTAACACAAATAAGGAAGCAGCTAGGTACTGAGCAACAACCCTTGATGAACCATGGTGCAGGCTGGCTCCACATGGAACAAAAGGGAACACTGGTTTATAGAGAGTAGGGTTAGCAGTGGTGGGAATTTAAAGATGAAAAAAGAGAGAGAGAGAGAAGGCACTAATCACCTGTAGTGAGTTGAATGATGGCGCCCCAGAAGATATATCCACATCAAATCCCTGGAACCTATGAATGTGTTCTTATATGGAAAAAGGATCACCATAGATGTAATTAAGATACACTTTTTAATCATCTTATTTTTGTAGAGACAGGGTCTCCCTTCCCAGTAAGGATCTTGCCATGAGATCATCTAGTTTATACAGGTGGACCCTAAATCCCATGACAAGTTTCTTTATAATCAAAGACATACAAAGGAGAGACAGAGAAGAGGCAGTAAGGCCACAGAAGAAGAAACTGCAGCAGCAGGAAGGGACAAAGAACAGATTCTCCCCTACGGTATCCAGAGGCAGTGCAGCCCTACTGATGCCTCAACTTCAGACTCCTGGACTCCTGATTTGTTAAGGCCCACCTGGAGAAACCAGATGACTGCATGTCAAGACAATACGTTTCTGTTGTTTTAAGCCACCAGGTTTGTGGAACTGTTATAGCAACCTCAGGAAATGACTATACCACTGAAATACAGGCTTTCTCCAACTTCTCCAGGAAAGGCGTAAGAGAGAAGGTGGGCTAGGTCACTGGAAGGTCCTTCCGAAGCAGGAAAATGTTCAATTCTGTGGCATAGGGACTAAAAGTCACTACCACTAGGGGGCGGAAGAGCCTAACAGACGGGCTGTACTCACGCTGTCCACAGCTACAGGGCTCTACCTCTAGCCTCTGACACCTTGTTTACAGGCTATCAATTTGAAATTCGCCAGAATTACCAGAGATGGCTTTGGGAACAGGAAAAAAAATCTTACATCTAACTACATTTGTCTCCATTAGACTGGACCACATGACTTCCATCTTGACAGACCTAAGGCAAAGGTTACCAGAAACGAGCTCACTTAAGGAAAAGTGTACAGTGTGGGTGTGTGAATGACCAATTCCTAACCCTAAATAATTACTTATTCTGGGAAACTGCCTCTGGTCTATCTATAATTCTCTACATAGTAAAACACTGATCTGGATAGTGAAAAGAGTATTAGTACTTTCATGACACCATATGCCCAACCCATTACTAAAGTATCTTTTTTCCCATATAGACTAGCCCAGCAAATTTTGAGAGAATAGTTTTTTAGAACAAATTTTCATAGTTGGAGAAGACCTGTGAGTTCAATAGTCTATACTGTTATTTTACAAACAAGGATTGCCAATTCCAGAGAAGTGACTAACCCAGGACAATATGAATTAAAACCCACATCTCCTAATTCTCAGGGCTTTAAGGTTTTAGAAATCTAAAGACTTCTAAATCTCAAACTTCTCTGTTTTCTAAGCTCTGGATGCTCTTTTACAATTACCTACTAAGTATTTTCATCTCAATATTCTAAAGGTATCACCTTCATTATTTAACAAACAAATATCGAATGTAAAGGAAAATAACATCTGAAGACCCCCAAACTCCTTATGTCAAAGGGAAAGTTAAGCTTAAAGCGTAAGTCACACTGTAACACCATCTTTTTCCCAAATAAATAGCTGTTACTTCACAACCGTGTCAAAACATTATACATTAGCCAGACCCCCACAAAAGGCCTCAGGGCCTCAGGCCTCTCTGGTTAATGCACTCACAAATCATTCATAAGTAAATTCTTTGCTGGCCTCAAAGCCTTTCAAGCCCTTACCCTATCCTTGCCCTATCCCTCCCATAAAACAAGAACATGTCAGTTGTAACATTAGGTCTGCAATCTAAGTCTAGCTACTAAAACTAAAGTCTGTTTAATTCCACACTGATCATGTTGATTACAAGCTTATCTTCCCAGGTGCAGAACAAAGATGAGATCAATTATTCTTCCACCTACCCTGAGATGTATACTGATTTCTTTCTTCAAAGGGTTCACCTTATCTTATGTAAAATGTAGATTTACTGGGCATTAACTAAAGTCTCACAAGAATGTAACCCTGCCTTTATAAGTGTCTTCCCCACTTTAAGAAAATGTATAAATACTAAACCTTAAGTCTGTGACTTGTGTTTTTCCTGAATGGGCCCTTAAGCTCTCGCTCAATAAAGCTAGATTGATTGAGATTCTCACCTTAGTCACTCATTTCAGTTAACACCCACATCTCCAGTGGTATTCTTTCAATAATCTTCCTACAGTATTGTTCTCAGTTAATGGAACCCATCACTACACACACACACACACACACACACACACACACAAAGTAGAATCACTTTTCCTTACCCCAAGTTAGAGAACAAACCCATCTTTAACAAAGCTGTCAGCCAGATGGACCAGATGGCTCTGTATTCAGCCAACAGACTACGTGGTGCTTCAGGTAAACAACTTATATTCCTTGCCACTCAAAATGGAAAGGCCTAAAATATGTATAGTCTGAAAATTGGACCACTCAGCTCCATGCAAGGCAAGCTGAGGGCAGTGTAAAGTGCCAAGTCATGGGTAAAGGTGAGACAGGGATCCAGCAGGACTATTTTCCCAAAATGAAGGTCACAAGGCCTGCACCTACTGACAAGAAGAGATAAGGTGAGAAGATGGCCAAAGCCAGCTGAGATCAACTAAGCCCAAGATGGCATCAAAAAACGACCTCTGCTTGCCCTTTTTGCTCATTATATGCTAATTATAAACATTAGCGTGATAAAAAACACTCCCATCAGGACAGTTTACAATTACCACGGCAACTCCTGAAAGTTACCCTACATGGTTTAAAAAGGGGGAAACCCTCAATTTTGGGAACTCCCCACCCTTTTCCCAGAAAACCTATGAATACTCCCACCCCTTGTTTAGCATGTCATCAAAAGGTAGTTATAAAAATAAAACTCATGTGCACAGGTGAAGATGCTGGGTAATCTTAAAGCCCAGGCCAAAAACTTTGTATCCCCCAAAGGTATTGAAATTAAAAATACAGATTTTTTTTTTTTGAGTTGGAGTCTCACTCTGTCGCCCAGACTGGAGTGCAGTGGCCCGCTCCTGGTCACTGGAGCCTCGACCTGCTGGGCTCTGGCGATCCTTCCGCCTCAGCCTTCCAAGTAGCTGGAACTACAGGCGCGCGCTACCATGCCCGGCTAATTTTTGACTTATTGTAGAGATGAGGTCTTGCCAAGTTGCCCGGGCGGGTCTCAAACCCGTGGGCTCAGGCAATCCACTCACCTCAGCCTCCCAAAGGCACAGGATTACAGGCTGAGCCACCGAGCCCGGCTTAATAAACTTATTTTTATTTCCACCTTAAACCTCAGTGATGTACAGGGGTTGCTCTGCTTATAGTAGTCTTTCTATTCCTCTTTCCTTTTAGCTAATTTGCTTTCACTATACCTCGTTGGCTCACTCTTGAATTCCTTCCTGTGTGAAGCTAAGAACCCACTTGGCCTCTCAGGCAGGACCCCAACTTTGGGGTCCCCTGGCCTGTATCAAAGGACCATCAAGGACACAATGTTCTGGGCCACCTGCCATAGAATCTGACTGGTAATTTTATTCTATAATTTTTAAAAAATGGATACAGTAGCAGGAGCTTACCTCAACCATTAAACACAATTCCAGAAAAGCACTTATAAGACACTTCAAACAGTATGACCACCTGGAGAACCTTTCAAAATGATAAGCTGGTTGCAAAATGTAACCTCAGGTAACAGAACATGACCTACCATTTAGAATTGGTAAATACTACATGAAAGGTACTTATAGAAACCTAGAAGAAACTTAGCTTATTCTTTAGTCTTTTTGCCTCAGCATAAGCATTAGAAAGCATGCAGACATTCTACTGCAGGACAAACAGCAGCCTATCCCATCCTCCCTAGGCAAATCTTCAGATGCAAGACCAGGACAGCCCAACCATTCATGGTTTAGCACAATAATCTCTAGTAAACTTTGTCAAGGCCAAAGTCATAAAGTAATAATACAACCACCCCACCTTTGGTCAAGGAATTTGTGAGTTGCAAATGTCTGAGTTTGTTAACTGCAAATATCTAACAAGTCTCTTGCAGGAAACCCCTACTCCCAGAGGGTTAACCTAATCAGCTCTTTGTGACCCACCTTGGCAGCAATCATGTGACTAACCCACCCATCTGCCTGCTGTCCATCACCTGACACAGTACCTGCAGTTGCCTGCCCCTTTGTGATGACTGGAAGCAGACCACTACCCAATCATCTTAATGATCTTCCCCATCTAGGGGAATGGTTAAAAGGGCTCAACCACAAGCAACCAGCAGTCATTGCCTTGCTAGACTCTGGTGTAGCCATGTGCTCTTTAAGCTATGCTGTCCCCATGCTTCCTAGCTTTGGCCCCCTCCCCCACCTTGGGGAGGTGAATCTTCTCTCTTCCTTCTCTTTCTCTCTCTAATTTACTTTTAAATAAACTTTTCTTTCTTAACCTTTTGTGTATCGCAATTCTTTCCATCTACTCGGATCTCTGGGTTCCCAGTGCGGCACCTCCAGTTTGCCAGCCCCGGCAGTGCTGCGCGCCTCCCTGCACCTCTCCACCCTCACCCTGCCGTACCCTAACACTACAGATATCTACCAAGAGACGTCTGTAGTTTTGGAACAGTATGACACTATTATTTCCATTAAGAATTCTGTTAGAGGCCTGGCATGGTGGCTCAGCCTGTA